ACTCTGAGAGGCCAATTAATTAAGAGAAAAAAAAGAGAAAGAATTAATTGGCCTCTCAGAGTTGGTAAGACAACTCCCACCTGTTTATGCTCTCTGTATGTGTGTATATATATCTCCTCAATATATGTTCCATTCTATATGCATCCGAAGAAGTGGGCTGTAGTCCACGAAAGCTTATGCTCTAATAAATTTGTTAGTCTCTAAGGTGCCACAAGTACTCCTGTTCTTCTTTTTGCGGATACAGACTAACACGGCTGTTACTCTGAAACCTTCCAAATGTCAGTGCATTTGCAGACTGTCACATGTCTAATATCAATTTTTAAATACCTAGACTCCCTGGAATCAGTAGTTCAAATCCTAGCTTGATTTAGGACTTCATCTTTTAAAGGTAGATAAACTGACTTCCATCTATTTTACTGTATGCAGGCCTTTCAGACAAGACCTTAAAACCCAAGGATGTGTTTGCTTATGTGGACATGAATGATCTCAGAGCAGTTCTCGCAGTAGTAGGGATATCTCCTCATGTCCTTGGATAAAATTTCACTCCTCACACCCACTACTGCTGTGCAGTGTGCTGGTGCTAAAAGTTGTTTGCATTTCAGTGTTTTGCTTTAGGCCTGAAATCATGCAAGAGAATCTGAGGGAGTGATCAACACTTGCACCTGCTTCAGATCCTTTACTTCAGTTATCATTTGCAGAGCCCTTTGAAAGTCTGGAGTTATGTTCTTGTTTGTTTTTAAAGTGGCTGAGACAGGATTGAATTTAGTGAGCCAATGTTATGGTGGTTTAGTGTTGCTGCAGGGGAGCAAATCAGTAAGAAATTGGGTGGTTCTTGCCTTTTGGGAGAGCCCACTCTCTTCAAATCCCTCCTTAAAACTCACTTTCCCCAGGAAGCCCACCAATGCTCATTTAAAGCACTTTGACCTTCCCATTAAGTATTAAAAATAAGCAAACAACATGCTAAGACGGATCCTTCCTCTGGGTCTCCCCTGTACATTTTATATCTAATTTTTGTAGCTTTAATGGTACAGAGTGTAGTAGGAAGAGCGCCTGAGACATAAGCCCTTGTATTAGAGGCCTAGTAGGAGGCAGGACCTGCTTTCAGAATTTGGCAAGAACCGGGCTGATATTGCAGAAATACACATTTCTAAGAAGCACTAAACCACAGAGTACTTACGCAAACACATTTTGATATTAAGTGGTACCAAAACATTCTGATATTAGGATGGTACAAAAACATTTCCCAAGGATAACAGGAACACACTGATTCCTTTTAAAAGATAAGGTTCGGATGGCAGTATGTAATAGAGATGTTTTGATTGAACCAACATGGACAAGATGATGGGTAATAACTAGGGCTGTCAAGCGATTAAAAAAATTAATTGTGATTAATCGCACTGTTAAACAATAATAGATTAGCATTTATTTAAATATTTTTGGATGTTTTCTACATTTTCAAATATATTGATTTCAATTACAACACAGAATACAGAGTGTGCAGTGCTCACTTTATATTTATTTTTATTACAAATATTTGCACTGTAAAAAACAAAAGAAATAGTATATTTCAATCCAACTAATACAAGTACTGTAGCCCAATCTCTTTATAATGAAAGTTGAACTTACAAATGTAGAATTATGTACAGAAAAATAACTGCATTAAAAAATAAAACAATGTAAAACTTTAGAACCTTCAAGTCCACTCAGTCCTACTTCTTGTTCAGCCAATCGCTCAGACAAACAAGTTTGGTTACAATTTGCAGGAGATAATGCTGTCCACGTCTTGTTTACAATGTCACCTGAAAGTGAGAACGGGCATTTGCATGACACTGTTGTAGCCGGCATCGCAAGATATTTACATGCCGGATGCGCTAAAGATTCATATGTCCCTTCATGCTTCAACCACCATTCCAGGGGATATGTGTCCATGCTGATGACGGGTTCTGCTTGATAACAATCCAAAGCAGTGCCACCAGCAGAAGGTTGAATTTCTTTTTTGGTGGTTCAGGTTCTGTAGTTTCCGCATTGGGGTGTTGCTCTTTTAAGACATCCGAAAGCATGGTCCACACCTCATCCCTCTCAGATTTTGGAAGGCACTTCAGATTCTTAAACCTTGGGTCGAGTGCTGTATCAATCCTTAGAAATCTCACATAGGTACCTTCTTTGCATTTTGTCACATCTGCTGTGAAAGTATTCTTAAAACGAACATGTGCTGGGTCATCATCTGAGACTGCTATAACATGAAATATATGGCAGAATGCTCCACTGGGAGCTGCGGGCGGCCGTGCAAATTTAAACAAACTGTCTGGCGGCCCACCAGCAGATTATCCTGACAAGCCATATGCGGCCCACGGCTTGCAGATTGCCCACCACTGCCGTAGAGTCTGCCAGGTGCTATTACCGTGCATTGTCAACAATAAACCTGTCCTCGTGCCTTTGTACCTTAACGGGTCTTGTGGTCATTGGGCAGTTCGCTCGAGGTGTGCTATGCCGGCTGTCTGCGCAGAGCTGGGACGGCACACACGAAGAACACACACATGTAGCCGAACATCTAACCACACAGAGCACACAGCAGATGCTTAATTCCTATTGTCATTACAAGAATTCTGACCACCAAAACTTGAGGTACAATGTCAATGGGTAACACAATTACCCCTGGGTATTTTGGCACCAACCACGATCAACTGTTGTTAGTTCTAGCCCATCTCTGGCTATTAGTAAATAATTTAGCAGCTGCAACCTTTTCAAAATATCTTCCTTTTAAAATTGGTAAAGTATGCTGAGCTTGAAAAAAACCCAAAGGTATTATAAACAATTCAGAGCTAGTGGCAGGCTGTGCTGTATAAATTACTCTTTTGTCCTCAATGGGAACTTAGTAGCTTAGTGCTTGTTTAAAAGACAATTTGCATTCTCATAAAATGTATCTTGCATCTTACTCCCTCCAAATGAGTTAAGGCTGGCAGCTCAGGTAATAAAACACCTTGACCAGAACCATTACTACTGCTGAATGCAGCAGCAACGCAAGCAATGTATTAAACAAGTGGAAATCAGATAATACTTAAGAATCGCATTAGAAGGAAGCAGATTTACTAAATTCCTGGCCGTCACCCAGTTTAGATAAAGTCAGGCAATGAAATAGTCCATGAAATTCTTAACCCTTCTCTTCTCTTTCTGCAGATTTCGTTTCAGACTGGTCTCCCTTACATGATGCCTCTATCCATGGGCGTTTGCTTGCTCTGAAGAAACTCATCAATCAGGTATCATTTTATTGGGGAGATGAACATTCTGCTTGCTTTGCTCATTGATCCCGTTGTTGAATGCAGGCTGTATTTTATATTGTAAGATATCTGAGATTAGTACAGTGAATTCCACTTGTGATGGATGGTTTTATTATAGCCAACTTATTATCTATGCAAAGCCATATAAATGAAAGCCTGGATTCAGCAAGCAGTTATGCATGTGCTTAACACTTGCACAAGTAGTCCCATGCAAGTCCACGGGACTACTCATATACTTCAAGTTAAGCACATGTGTTAGTGTTTGCAGGATTAGGGCCTCAAGTGAGCTATATCCTTCTCTCCTGTTGAGACACCGGTTGGAGGAGAGCAGTTATTGGGGAAATGCCCTGTGTGAGATCTGCAAGATCTCATGAGACTCTTTCATAGTTGAAGGATTTGTGGTAGAGCTAAATAAAATATTTGTAATGCAAGGTTTGCTTTTCCATCAAAACTTGCTCCTGAAATCATGGAGGTTTCTGGAAAACAACTTGATAAAATTCCTGAATTTCTTGATAAAATTGCAAATAAGATATTCACAAAAATCAAAAGGTCACTTTTATTTGAGAAGTCACAATTCTAAGTCTTGACGGAATAGGTCACATGGCACAGTGGATGATGTAAACGGCTGGGAGTCAAGATCATTCAAAGAAATTTAAAATATGTAAAGCACTATATAAGTAGTCAGCATTACTGTTATTGCCTCCAATAATATTTTCTGTTATTTTACAAGGGGAGCAGTGTTAACCTCATTACAGCAGATCATGTGTCTCCTCTCCATGAAGCCTGCTTAGGGGGCCATCCTGCTTGTGCTAGTGTCCTATTAAAACACGGGGCTCAAGTAAGTATAACACAGATGTTTAGAAGCAGATCTATGAAACTGCAGGATAATAATTGGTTTACTGAACGATGAGAAGAAAAGGATCGCATGTTGAGATGTCTACAGCGTGTTATGTAGGAGGAATTGTGTGATGTGAAGGAATGTACCCCAATGAGTTAAACAATAAAAAGACCAGTTGTATTTTTTAAAAAGTCTATTTCAAGCTCCTGATATTGTAAGCTGTATGAAAAGAATGAACCCTGCTAGTGTTTTCTGAACCAAATTCTAATGTAAATTAAAGTCCGTTTACACTACTCTAGTGGTGTGAAGGAGCTTAATGTGGGTGTAAATACTATTTACATTTGAAGGTCCCCTTACACTTTTGGAGGAGTGTAAGTATAACAGAGATGCTGGGTCTTGTCGATTTTTTTATTTAATTATTTTGACTGGACCAAAATATATTGACCAGCCATTCCAAAAAGCACAGTGAGACTTAATTTATAATATAATATGCTATGATAAAATATGAAATATAAAAGTTTATACTGTGCACGTACACTGTGCCTCGCTTAACTCTAAGCATATTGCCACTTTTTACATAAAAGGCGCTTTTTAATAAAGCAACAAAAAAGTGCAGATATAAGCAGACCCTGCCATTACTATTATTTATATTTTGGTTTCATATATTCATGGATTTTCAGGCCAGAAGGGACCATTGTGATCATCTAGTGTGTGTAACACAGGCCACAGAACTTCTCTGAACAAAGTCCTAGAGCACATCTTTTAGAAAAAACATCCAGTATTGATTTAAAAATTGCAAGTGATGGAGAATCCACCATAACCCTGGATAAATTGTCCCAATGGTTAATTACTATAGTCCTACCAAATTCACGGTCATGAAAAACACGTTACGGACCGTGAAATCTGGTCTTCCACTGTGAAATCTGGTGTTTTGTGTGCTTTTACCTATACAATACAGATTTCATGGGGGATACCAACGTTTCTCAAATTCGGGGTTCTGACTCAAAAGGGAGTTGCAGGGGGGGTGTCTCGAGGTTATTTTAGGGGGGCTGCGGTATTGCCACCCTTACTTCTGCGCTGCTGCCTTCAGAGCTGAGTGGCTGGAGACTGGCGGCTGCTGACTGAGGGCCCACCTCTGAAGGCAGCAGAGCAGAAGTAAGGGTGGCAATACCATACCATGCCATCCTTACTTCTGTGCTGCTGCTAGTGGCAGCTCTGCCTTCAGAGCTGGGCTCCCAGCCAGCAGCCACTGCTCTCTAACTACCCAGCTCTGAAGACAGCGCCGCCACCAGCCGCAGCATAGAAGTAAGGGTAGCAGTACCGCAACCCCCCCCTACAATAACCTTGTGACGCCTCGCCCTTCCCCCCCTCCCCCTGCACAACTCCTTTTTGGGTCAGGATCCCTACAATTACAACATTGTGAAATTTCAGTTTTAAATAGCTGAAATAATGAAATTTACAATTTTTAAAATCTTATGACTGTGAAATTGACCAAAAGGACTGTGAATTTGGTAGGGCTCTATTAATTACCTTCACAGTTAAAAATGTACACTTTATTTCCAGTCTGAATTTGTCTAGCTTCAACTTCCAGCCATTGGATTGTGTTATACCTTTCTCTAGTAAGCTGACGAACCCATTATCAAATATTTGTTCCTCATGTAGGTACTTACAGATGGTAATCAAGTCGTCTTAGCCTTCTCTTGATTAAGCTAAATAGATTGAGCTCCTTGAGTTTAGTCTCGGCTATAGCACTCAGAATGTTCTAGGCACTTACCAAGCATATAGGAAGAGACAGTCCCTATCCCAAAGAGTTTATAATCCTGCAAAAAAGTATGTGCACACTTAACTTTATACACGTGATTAGTCCTACTGACGTTAGCAGGACAAATCACTGCATAAATGCAGTACAGTGTAAATATGCAGGATCAGCGCGTAAAAAAAATCAGGAAGCACATAAAAATGGAGAGGAATTGAGACAATGTACAAGCAAAGTGCCCAGAGTGGCGATGCGTACAAGTCTCATGACATTTCTGTTTGGTTTTTTATTTTCCCAACAGAAAGTATTGACTTTTCAGTGAAAAATTGAAAACTGAATATTTTTGTTGGAAAACCTAAAATGTTAATTCACAAAGGTCACCATCATATCTACCTCCTGGGAGTTCTAGGTCAGGTGTTTCATGCCAACGTTCTCCTCGATGGGATGGGCTCCCTGTTTGGACTACATCTCCCATGATGCACCACGGTCTCCGCTCTTGCTAAGCCACCATGGTATATCATGGAAGCCCCTAGCCATGGTGCATCATGGGAGATGATGTCCCGCTGGATAATCTGGCCCATACAGGACAATGGGAGCATGATGACCCCAGACAACTCCCATGAGCACTATGGTGGTATTTCTGAGTCAAATAGTTTTCAGGTTTGGAAAAAAGATGTGTGTTTTTCAAATGAAAAGTTGATATTTTCAACAGAAAGTAGACCCTTTTTGCAAAAAAAAAGAAAAAAGAAAAAAAATATTTTAATTGAATACTCTCAATTTTTCATAGAAAACAACAGTTTTTATGAAAATATTCACCCAGCCCTAGTTAAAATATTCCCAGATCATTACTGTTTTTAAAGAAACTACTTGCCTGTTGTTTTTCCATCAGGTGAATGGAGTTACTATTGATTGGCATACTCCTTTGTTCAATGCCTGTGTCAGTGGCAATGTGGCCTGTTTGAATCTATTATTACAGCATGGAGCCAGCCCACATGCACCATGTGATCTGGCTTCCCCTATCCATGAAGCTGCTAAGAGAGGTAGGTTACTCAGTCAAGAGTTGGAATTACTTTTCCTTTTACCAACACCTCGAAGTTGAAGTTAGTGAGAGAAAGGAAAGATCAGTCGGTATATTGAATTCATGTAAAATACAAATATATCATTGATAGAACCATGATACTTGTTCTCAGTGCTGGTATCACAGTTTCTACCATCCTGTCTTCATCCGTGACACCTGCTCCTGGAGTCCCTAATCAGCTCCTGAGGTCCTGGGTATGTGAGGTGACCTCTCGTAACTTCCTCCACCACACAAAATGGCTCCCAAACCCTCACACCTACTTGCATTGCTGTGAGGGTTCCTCTAACCTGAACATTGCCCTTGGGCCTCCCACAGCTTGACTACTGTCATTTGGGTGGAGGGAAGGTGCAGGTGTTCCCTTATCTGGTAATTATCTCTCCTCGGTCCCCAAAATGGCGCTGTTCATTGGAGGGGAAAGTATCCCACCAACAGTGTTGCTATGGCCTCCATCTACCACAGCTTGACAAAACAATTTTAACAGGTTGAACTTGAACTTCTCACCTCCTAAATTATCAAACATGTCCGCCATAAGGAGAATTCGGTGAAGAGAGAATTACTGTGAATTTTCTGAAAGCACTGGAAATCAATACAAATTTTCACAGACACTTCCATTTCCTAGTAAGCACTTCATGAAGCAAGGACTCATATTTCTACTACTGTTGTAGTCTTATGGACCAGAAGACTACTTTAGTGCCTTGATGGTGAACAAATGCCATTTCTACTTTCCATTAAGTATTGAGAATGGATAATGATCTCACATTAGCTAGCAATAGGCATACTAAAATGAGACCCCATAAAGAGCAAAATATTTCAGCTAATAAATGAGATACAAGAACCTAGGAAGTAACTGGGCTGCCTTGCAAAGACCTTCCCTGATTTGGCTTGGCTGTTCTTGTTTTTCAGTGCAGATTTAACCCAGCAAATAAAATGCATTCCTTTGAAGATGTCATGGCATAATTTGGTCATGTGTGTAATGTAAACTCTCCCTCCTTACATGGTAATATTCCTAATGGCTATTGTTCCCTTGACCAGTCTAGAGAGAGAAAGAGAAAATGAGGATTCCAATCTCTTGAAAAGAGACTGGGGAAGAAGGGGCCATTATAGACAGGAAATCAAAAATGGCAGAGATGACTGTTTGGATGAGCACCTTTGAGACTATTGTTGTCTGTGAGCTGTGTCACCTGCTGCTTCTCTCCTCCATCCCACCAAAATGATTCATTATGGGATGGATAGACAAGGGCATTTTGAATGTATCAAAATACTGGGGTCTGGGGAGAGGAAAAAATGGAAATCTAAAATCTCCTGCCAAATCAATGGAGCTTTACTGATCTACACTGGTTGGGGGGGGGAGGGGGGGCAGAGTTATCTGGACCACAAAATGAGGAGCCTTCAGAAACCCCTTATTTTTATTATTTGACCCTCCTTTATCCTTTCAAAGGACATATTGAATGTGTTGAATCCCTCACATCCAATGGAGTAAATATAGACCTCAACATCAAACATCTGGGTACTCCGCTTTATGTAGCTTGTGAGAATGAGCAGGTAGCCTGTGCCAAGAAGTTACTTGAATCAGGTAAAAAAAAAGTAAAATGATGTTCTTTTATTTTCTGTAACATCTCTTTATACTCTGTCCTCATCCAAGGCTGAGGGGTGCTCACACGCTGGAATTCTGAAACATTTGAATCATGTAGGTAGCTCTGGGTATTGTAGTGGAATTTTAAATTGACTAGAGGGGATATAGCCACACAACGCCCATTGAAACTACATGCGCCTCGAGCAGGGGGCCGGACTGCACTGAGCCCTGCATTCTTGGATCCTTTGTACACCAGTGCAAGGGCCAGACGCAAACATGGTCATCCATTCAGCAAGATGCTTAAGTATGTGCCTCACTTGTAGCACAAGTGGTCCCGCTCAGGTCAATGGGGCTCCTCATATGTGTAAAGTTAGGCATGTGCCTAAGTACCCTACTGAACTGGGGCCTTGGCTTGTGCAATCACATCATGCAAACACTGGAAGACCAGAGCACCTCCCACAGTGCTAGCAACTCCACAGGTGGTGGGAAAGGGGATGTGGGGTTTGAGAGCAGAGCTATGTCCTTTCCGTACTCCACAGCATCCAGCAGACTGGACTGTGGCCCGTAAGAGGGTACAGCAGGTTCCACTGCTGTGTGTGGTCCTCCGGAGCAGAGGCACAGCCTTAGGCAGAGAGTCTCAAGGAGCTTTCACTGATTCACAGACCCCCCCATCCCATGCCAACACAGGCAGTGGTTTAAAGCCATAACCTAGCCCCTATTAAAATTCATTTCTAGGAGGGTAGTGGGAACCTCCATTGCTGCAGGTTGCTCAGAGATCTAGGAGGTAGCAAAGGAAATGGGATGGTCCAGCTATGACTTTTTTTTTACTAATGTGATCATATTCTTGGTCCTACCTTATTTTCAGGAGCAAGTGCAAATGGTGGCAAAGAACTGGACTCTCCTCTCCATGTGGCTGCCAGGAATTCCAACGCTGACCTGGTGCACTTGCTGATTGACTTTGGAGCAGACGTGAGAGCTAAGAATGCAGAAGGCAAAAGGCCAGTGGAGCTGGTTCCACCAAGCAGCATTTTAACACAAATATTTGTGCAGAAAGAAGGTGTCCTTTAATATTTGTTTTATTCAAAATCCTAACCTGTAGGTGGCTGAAAAAAGGGCACATTATTTACTATGCTGCTCTTCATGTTCTGTATCATGGAGCAAAACTGAAAATAACTGGGCTCAGTTCTGCCCTCAGATATTTGGACACAATGTCCTTTAACATCAGCGTATTAATTTATGAATTATAATTATAATTATAATTATTATTATTTTTAAAAGACTTTATGGAGATTCCAGTCTCAGCAAAAAGGAATTTCCAGTCACTACAAATGCTATAGAGTATTATTTGCATCCCACGCACCTGTGGCCCCCCCAGAGTTTTCAGTGAGAGTCCAGGGCATCAGTGAACAGACTTGAAGCTTGTAATGTATCACAGAAATGAGCTTAGGAGACGTATTAAGCAGAAGAACACTTACAAATCAACTGGGAACTTTCCTCTTTCTGACTATCAGTGTTATTCTTGGGATTGGCCCTAAATCCACTGAAGTCAACTGGAAACTTTTCATTGACTTTAGTGGGTTCTGGATCATTCCTGGGTTATGTTAAGCTAGTGAGTCTCCTTGGAGCATGTTAACAAATTTGAAAAGGATAGAAAGTAACCTCAAATCATCCAGTGAGAGTTGAGCCCGATTACCAGAGAGTAGAAATGTACCCACTGAGTTTAAATAATGTAATTTTTGTGGTACAAGTCCAGCAAATGCCAGGAAAAATCTGTGTTAAAGTACAGCTGGGAAGCTTTTAATTCATGCAGTATAAAAACGGTAAATGGACTATAACCGTGATCTAATTCCTTGCCTTTTGCTTTATATTTTTGGGTCAAAACCTTAAGAAGTAGCAAAATGTGTCTGAAAATTAATTTCTCTGTGTTGCTTTTTTGCAAAAGGTTGTAAAATACATCCCAAGAGATGGTACAATAAGTATATATGGTATGTGTTTATTAAGGTCCTATATTATGTCCTGCATAATCCAGCCCTTCTTCCAATCTTTAGGTTTGATTCTTATTTAAACTATTTAAAAAGCAGCTGTTATTTACCTGTAAATCAAAATGGTTCCAAATCCATTTTGTTTTATTGGGTATATTATATTCATGAATTCTGGGGAAAAATCCTATGTTTTTGACAGGTAAATGTGAAAAATGCCTTTGGTCAATAGAGTTACATTCCTAGAATATATTCATTTAGAACTTCCTATGGAGGTAGTAAACAGCAGTTAGTATCATTATGTTAAACAAGATACTGCTGATATGATCCACCACTATATTACTCCAGTTTTATGCCAATGTGACTCTATTGAGATCAGTGGAGTTACACCAGTATAAAACTGGAATAACACGGTGAGAAGTCAATAATATTATGAAAACAATCACATGGTGCTGCATGGCACAGATATTTGGTCTTTCAACACATTCTGCCATACACACAGCTGTATGTTACAGAACTCAAATCCTCTTTCTGTTAGACGTCTGACTCGCATCACATGTATTTATCTGAGATAAAAGAATATGTCATGCATGCCCAGGGAGCAGCCACAGAACCATATGTAACATTGGAAGGGCTAAGTTGAGAGGGCTGGACAATAATTAATGGTTCTAAGGGAATTTCTGCTTTTACAGTCATTGAAGCCTGTACTTATACAATTCTGGAGACCATTTTGCTACTGAGTAGTGTTTCCCAAATGTTCTTCAAAATTCATTTTTCTGAGTAAGTTCCAGGTTTGCTAGCAGCTGGTTTCTAAATTGTCTGGTCTGAAGCAATTGAAAACAGATGTGCAAATACACAGCCTTTTGTTTAACCTTCAAGTTCCCTTCCTGTAGTGTTACTTCCTTTTGGTTTCATTCAGATTCATTCTATGAGTATGGTTATCTCTGGTACAGGCGGCAGGTGAGCTATAGTATTTCCCACAATCCTGTGCAGCCTCCATTATTCCAGTAGACTCACTTACTAATTCGAATTGGTTTCCATTCTGTTTTCTTTTCCTCCAGCTGGTAAATGCTTGGAAGGCTCTACCTACAAATGTGCGGGAAATGGCAGCATATAGGGATTTTTGCTTTAGTAGGCTATTGGCCAAAGTACCAGTCCACAGTCACCCATATGAACAGTTATAGAATGTTGTTGCCCCAATCTAATGTTTCACTGTATATGTTTTCCATCTGAACGATAGACAGTTGTGCGCGTGTTCCAGAGAACTAGCAAAATAACCAAATAAAACAGCACTACATTGAACTACCTTGAATACAAGAATTACCTTGCATTTTTTGGTTATTTTTCAGGAGAGTGAAATTGATTTTTTAATTTTTTTTTACACTTTTCTCTTTTTCAGTGAAACATTTCTGCTTTTATGGGAATATTTTTAAACTTTTAAGAAGGTCTCAAAGAGACATTTACTTATGGCCGAGCAAAATAAAATGGACAAAACGGGACGCACAATGTAATATTGCAATAGTCACTCCTGTTCCCATTGATGTCAATTGCAGTTTCAAAAGATGAGCCTGGGAGCTTAAATTCACAACTTTGCTAACACAAAAAATCATGGACTGAACAGAGACACTGAATTTATGCAAAAAGAAGAACAGGAGTACTTGTGGCACCTTAGAGACTAACAAATTTATTAGAGCATAAGCTTTCGTGGACTACAGCCCACTTCTTCGGATGCATCCAAAGCAGTGGGCTGTAGTCCACGAAAGCTTATGCTCTAATAAATTTGTTAGTCTCTAAGGTGCCACAAGTACTCCTGTTCTTCTTTTTGCGGATACAGACTAACACGGCTGCTACTCTGAAACTGAATTTATGGCTTATTACAACAATCTGTAACTCACTAACCCCCTCTTTTTGTCCTATGACTGAAGAGGTGTTAATGGGCCACTCTATCTTGAATGGCCCGTTAGAATATGTGCTCACTGCTTATGTTCTACTATCTGTTCCACCTTGCATTTAGCTGTCATGCTTTGTGTACATTTCCCAGATCTGAAGAAGAGCTCTGTGTGGCTCGAATGCTTGTTTCTGTCGCTAACAGAAGTTGGTCCAATAAAAGATATTGCCTCATCCACCTTATCTGTCTAACTGCAGTTCTGCCAGTTTCAGCAGGAACAGACCCTGAAGCATGAAGTGATTCTGGTCAAGATTCGCCACTTCCTTGCACCGTACACAGTCTTTTAAACTTGTGTAATGTGGGTATAAATTGCTGCTGTTCTGACTTGGAACAGTCTTGCATTCTCTGTGCACAGGTGTAAATGGCAGCATAAGATGCAAAGCAGTGGAGAATCAAGCCCTGTGTGTTTACCAGGTTCATTAATACATGTCTCATTAATACTGCATGTTGACAGTGCTCTTGATACAACCATTTGATCAGTAAAACCATCTTTAAGAGAACCCAGCCAGCTGTGAAGAGCTGCTGAAAACATGGTAGCTGGAGTGTGGAGGGACACTGAAAACAGCTGCTTTTTAAAGCTGTTACCCAAAAGCAGTACCAGCTGCTTCCATCAGTACCTTCAACTCCCTTACTCACAGCTACTGCCAACACAGCTTCTCTGGTGACCACAAATGCCTTTATCTTCTAGCTTCTTTTAGAAAATCTTAACTGGGACTTACTTTTAGCTGATAACATTGTCTCTGCCTCCCTGATCCCATTTCACTGATTCCCTCTTGCTTTCTAAAATACCTCATAAAGCTCATCTCCTCTTATACTGCTTAAACCCAACCCAATTCTGCCTTCCCCCATTAGTGCGTCCTGCTTGTCTGCTCTCCTTATCTACTCTGACAGTAACTGTTCTGTTGTGGTAACTGCTGTGTATGATGAGATAGCCGTACAAATGACATGGTATATGATCCAACTGTTTTGTAGTTAAATACATCATAGTAACTACCTCTTAACAAGAAGGATAAGCCCTCCATTAAGCATGTTATGCTGTTACATTTAAATAAAAGACATAGATTCTTTACTAGGGCTTGCATTATCAGCATGGGACTATTTAATCTTTAAGGTTTAAATAAGGGATTATATATTGCGTCTTTTGCTATGTGTTTATCACTGTTATACTGTTATGAATACTTCTGCAGAAACCAGTGGGCCGCAAACTTGAATCTCACTCCAGGGAAAGGATTTTGAAGGAAGCATTAATCATCTCTTATTTTCAAGCAACATAAAGTATTTAACATTTGTCTTATAGCTTGTAGGAAAATAATACAGCTACTAATTATACCTGTATAAGGATTAAGAATGACTGTGGTTGGTTCCAAGACAACATATTTATGTTGTGGGCTTGACTTACTACTGCTTTGCCTCTTGTATGGTCATTTACACCTGGGCAACATGGGGATAAATTGCTTCTACTGGGGTAAGTGAGAGGCGATTTCTCATTTGATAGTGTTTAGCACATGTTTTTGCACTAGAATAAATAGCAATGGGGAATCGGTCCCTATGTGCTGTTTTCAGTATTCAGCTACAAAAATCTATTTATAAATGATAATCTTTCTCAGAGCCGGCGCTAGGCATAAGCAGACTAAACAATTGCTTGGGGTCCTGAGCAGCTCACGGGGGCCCCCTATTTGCTTTTTTAGTATGTGTTGTGTGTGTGCGGGGGGCCCAAATATTCCAGTGTAGGGCCCCCAGTAGGCTAACGCCACCTCTGATCTCCCTTAAAAAACTAACTACCTGCTCCAAACACCTTGTGACTAAAATGATTTGGTAAAGAATTTCCAGTGTGTTGAGCTTTTAGGAGCCCGCAGGAGCTGAGAGCTTGGGAATGTTGCCCTTCAGTAAAGCCGGTCTAGCCTGTACTACACAAAAGTTGGCCTTGTTACATATCTACAGCTTCAGTTCTGTGACAACTGATCTTGGGTCAATAAAATCACATGTTATAACTTGTCTTGTGGCATCTTTCTCCAGGGCCCCTGTCCTTGATGCAGTTGTGCCGCCTGTGCATTAGGAAGTGCTTCGGACACAAACAACATCATAAAATAACTGGACTTCTGCTCCCGGATGAGCTGAAACATTTTCTCCTCCACATTTAAACCTTTTGTATTCAAAGCCATACCAGTAAACATAAGGCGAGGTTTGTCATAGTGTTGCCAACTCTTGCAATTTTACTGTGAGTCTTGTGGTATTTGATGTTTCTCTGAAAGCTCCAGCTGCTGGAGTCATGTGCTTAGATGAGAATCTCAATTTTCATTAAAAAGGAAGTAATTTTCTAGCCCTCGTGGCTGTGGAGAAAAACTTGATAACGTGACCCAGCTCAGAAACCAGAAAGCAAGTAACATGAGGACCAAATTTATCATTTTTTTAAAGAAAATGATTTTAAGTAATCTCATGATTCTTTGAGGCCTGATTTTTGAATGCTTGGTGTTGGCCATACTGCACCAAGTACATATACTAGTGCAGGACAAACAACATCTCAGATTTATTAAATAAGAAGGATGGGTGAAGTCTTGCTTTAAGCAGCAACCCTCTAGGATGCCCATGTCAGCTGTAGAAGATGTTCCACGCTCTTGTTGCCCTTTATGTATAAGGAAACGGAGCCAATTCTAACCCTGCAAAGCAAGCGGGGAGATTTGGCATGGGAAAACTGGTTAATCATTTGGAGTAGACAATTCAACTCTTTTAAAGATGATCAACGAATTTGCTGAAAATTTCTTCCTTAGAATTCAAAGAAAAGTAAAGGAAAGACAGTGAATATCAATAATTTTATTGAGTTAGGTTATTTCTGCCCTTCATGTTTTAAACATGAAAATATTAACTAGTTTTAAAGAATATTCTGTGTTTTCAGAATACCCAACAGTGCATGTAGATGAGCACCAGCAAACAACTATCTATTCAAATGGGCATCTGAAACTGTTAGGGGTTTACGTTATTGGCATTACACCATATAGATCATTGTTGAGGTTGGCTTCCTGCAGTGAGGAAATAGTAGGAAAATTATTTTTGATCAGCCATTAAAAACACTTATTCACTGATGTGTTTTGAGACTTAATGGCCTCCTATCTCAGTATAATTTCTCCCTTAAGGATAAAATTTTTCAAGGACACAGGTTACCACATGTTGGCAGGGAGTAAATGTTCTTCCACTTTATGGTTTGAATGAAAAGTGAAATTTCCCAAGGATTTATGAGCAGGTCATCAAAAAGGACAGCTTTATTTTTTTTCTCTCCAGAAAAAGGTACCAAAGAGTTCATTCAAAGGGTGAAATAAAAATCTTTTCTTGGAAAACATTCTACCTCTTTCTTAACATTTCCCACATGAGAGAGAATAAAAACAACTATCTTTAATGTAGAATAATATAATAAATAATGAAAAGATCTAAATACTTAGAAAAGTCCATCTCATATAAATACTTTGAAAACTCTAATTAAAATAAAATTAGGAGAACGGTACTCTGCTCCCCCCGCCCTTTTTTTTTCTAGTTTAATTTGCATGTTGGTCAACCAAACACAAGGGTTTAAATTCTGACTCCATTGAAGTCAATAGCAAAACTCCTATTAACATTAGTGGAGCCGGATTTCATTCAGCTATATTCAATTTTAAATTTATTCACAAATATCCTACAAGCTCTTTGAACTCTGAGTATGCTCTTTTGGGTGAAAAGAATGATTATAGTGCATTTTAGCTATTTTCTCTCTCTGCACGTAGCTCTCTACATTGACTCTCTGTTCAAAGAATGTTTGAATCTGAATAGAGATGGATTTGAAGCAAAACCCCAGAACTGCACACCCTGAATTTGGGAAAGTCTGGATCAGGATCTGAGTACAAACTTTCTAGCTCAGTCTCATCTCTAATTCTGAAGCATGGTGCTTTTATACAGTACTTAAGCATTAATATACCAGGTGCATATTCTTCTGGGATATCTCCATACTGTCTGTCTCAAAAGAATACACGTGTAGATCCAAATGCTACTACTCAGTAAATAACACTTTCAAAAATAATTTTCTTCTTTTTCAATTGCCAAGAGCTCACTAGGATTGTGTTTCCCAAGCAGAAGCTGACTGCAGTAGTAACATGCAGAGTGCAGGAAAATGGTTTGCATTCAGTGCTGGTGATATCATTAACTTCTGCAGGAGGAAATACAGAGTCTGTAGCATGTAAAAGAAAGACACACAGCTTTTCAAATAGAGCATCTTGTTTAAAACTTTTCCAATATACCTGTATGGTTTACATGGTTGACAAACATGGGGACTTTAATAGGATGGCCAAATTCCACAACTGTATGCTCATATTTGGTCCTTTGTTATGTAAAATGAGTATTTACATTCCTACTTGGCATATAGATGTGGAATATAGACACCCTGCTTAAGGGCTTGATCCCATGCTCATTAAGTCAACAAGAGTACTTCCATTGATTTTAATGAGCATTGGATCATGCTCTAAATACCCACATTTGAAACCTCAAAATTCAACTATCCAAATTTTAGGATCAGAAACGGTAAGTAATTTTTTCTCAGCAGTTTTGCCACTTACTTTTAAGCTTCTGATTTTGTGACCTCAATCAGTGTGTTTGTAGGGCTAAGCTAATATCCTGAGATGCTTAATCATATCAGGTGGTGAGGGCTGGTTTTTTAGCTCTGTTTACCTTTTGAAAATTTAATAGCTTGGCTCCGTTTACCTGAATCTTTTTATCTTGTATAACTAGGATGAATTCCCTGGGCTCATTTTGCATCATCTCAATATATTTACGTATTTATTTATTTTTAAATCATTTGTGATTGAAACTGATGGATTACAGTTTTATGCATAGATATCCTTGAAGCTGTAAGGTAAACTTAGTGAAATCTGGAGCGATTTCCAAACTTGAAATCATGCCAAATGCCACTCAGTTTTTGAAAGACTGTCATGAATATATTTTTGTAGATTCTAGGCTGTTATTTTGTTAAAGGATTTTTATTTCAGCAGTTTTTAACAAGATTATCCAACCACTATTGTACATGATGTTTGCTCAAAATATATTGTTTTTATTCCAAGTTTGGTTTTCATTTTTTAATTAGAGCACCAATTTTGCATTATGTTTTAATATTCTGGAGTCCTAGGTTGAGGTCTAATACTCTGGCTTGTAACAGGGAGCTAACAACTTTATTAATAGTATGCAGACTCTCATCATAAGTTGGAATCCTGTCTGAGTCTGGGGCTCTTGTAACCACAGTACTTTTCCTTTAAAAAGTCTGAAGAATGCTGTGATAAGAGCTGAAGCAGCTGTTTGTCCCCTGCAGCCATGTGGGAGCTGGATTTCTCTTGAAGATTTCAGTTGTCCCTGCAACATTTACATGAAATAAATACACAAATTATTGTCTCATTCTTTTAAAATAGATAAACTTTTCTTTACTTAACAGTTCTTGCTGGAAACAATTAGACAATGTGCTGTCTCTGAAACCTCCTCTCCCTCCTTTTTAAAAACAACAAACTTTTTATTGTTTTATTTTACTTTTAACTATTTATTAAAACAAACTTACAATGAAATGTTAACATACTGCATTGTACGGGACTTGTTCAGGATCAGATTAATATTCAAAGAACTGGCTTAAAAATTTGGCTTGCCTGCTGGGGATTCCTCCTCTTCTGAGTATGGTAGAAAGGGTGACCAGATTTCTAAATACCTATCGTCTCCTTGGCCCTTCTCTTGTGTACATATTTGGTGTGAAAGCTTTTCCCTTATGTGACGGTATGCACCCCTCATCACAGGGCAGCACGGCCTAATGGCCAGAGTCCATATGACCGCCCCTGGTTACAGGGCCGTAGGACCTTACTACCGGCTCAGTGGGGGGGGGGGTCCTACCGAAACACACTGAGGCTTACCAGGGGCAAGGTACCAGTCTGTCACCCCCCCCAGGTCGGTTCCTACTGGTTCAGGAGTCGGGGTTGCCCACGAATCCCAGGTCCTCCGCAAGTCTCCGGGGTCGTCACCTTCTCTGGTTCCTTCCCCGGTAGGGGTTCGTGCCAGTCAGAAGAAGCATCTGCTCCGAGCGGCTCTGAGAGCATCAGCTGGTCCTCTGCCGGGGTTGCCCAGTTAGTCCTTCTCCTTCAGCCACCAGCCCAGACTGAGCTGAGTTCCCTCCTTTTATACTCATGGAGCATTTGGTGCATGCCCAGTACGGGCGGGGCAGGACTTCCGCTGACAGAGCTACCTGTCTGTCACTTCCGGGGCTAGTGCGGGGCGGAGCTGCCCCGTCAGACCTTACACGAACAGTCCATATTTTCTGACTCACATTGGCTTTACCTTCATTTAAACTGGTAATTGTAAAACAAGTAGAGATTACTTGCAAACCTTATCCTTGTGCAGATTCACTTTACTCTCTCCAGATACTTCCTGAGCCTGATTCACTACTGTACATTATTATTAGTGTTATGCCATCCTACTCACAGTAATGAATCAGGCCAATTAACTTTTTCATTCCTTCCCAACCCTTTTCTGCAGTTCTTCCTACAGGATGCGAGGGACCATATCTGTTTCTTTTAAGACTCCCTCAACAAAGGTCACAGACCTCCCTCTCACTAACAGTAATCCTCAACTTTGAGGTTCCTATGCATGTAAAAAACATATTTTTGTTCCCCAGCTAATTATATCCTTAAGCAATGTTAGGGGCACATAAATCCCAAAATTTCTTTAAATAGTTAGAGAGACAAGGTGGGTGAGGTCTTATCTTTTATTGACCAACTTCTGTTGGTGAGAGAGACAAGCTTTTGAGCTACACAGAGCTCTTCTTCGGGTCTGAGCACTGTGTAGGTCGAAAGCTTGTCTCTCTCACCAACAGAAGTTGGTTCAATAAAAGATATTATCTCACTCACCTTGTCTCTAATATCCTGGGAGCTAAACAGCTACACCAATATTTGAAATAGTTGAACATTTTAACCAGAGCTGTTAGGGAACTGGAATTTCATGAAAAATTTCCATGAAAAATGTTGAGATTTTGAAATTTGATTTTCTTTCAAATCAGAATGTTCCTTTTATTTTCAAAATGAAATTTCATCCAAATCAACACATTCCTGTGGAAATTTTCATTTTGACTATACAGCATTTCCCAATGGAACCACACTCCACTGGAAAAATTGTCCAATCAACTCTACTTTTAACTCATCCATTAGAGAAGCTAGATTAGCCAGGGTGTTGACAACTAGACTTTTTCTCAGGCCTTTGGATGCTTCAGATCATTCATCTTGCAGTGGTGTGTCTGATAGCCCCAAATCATGCCACTGTCCCTCAAAAACCTACTACTCAGAGGATGGTAAAGAGGTGAAATAGCAAAGATCAGAGCAAGGACCTCTGCCCCATGGAAAAGATAAAGCTGACATTTCAGGTGAATTTTTTCCACAGATATCCATTTTGTAAGATATTTATTCCAGTAGCAATAACTCTATTCCACTCTGTACACAGCAGTTTTGTTCCTGGAATCACTATGCACTTTGCACTAGTGGAAAGGTATATTCATTCTTCTGCAATATCTAAAAAAAAGAGACAGATTGGGGCTGACTCTGCACTCAGGGCAGGATCCGTAAAGGGAAGCATTGGCAGCTGGATGCAACCTTTATGCCCTTCTTATGTTTGGGCCAGATGAGGCCCAGTTTGGCCTCTGGTATAACTTAGAGGCACTTCTTAACTGATCTAATTTGTGCCTACATACCAATGTCTCTAAGAAGCCATTCCAGCAACCAAGGATAACCATGCACTTCCAGCAGACAGCACTCTGGACACCACTTGCCTCCACTCCTGGGCTAGAGGTAGGAAGGGAGTAATTTTGGGGCAGCAAATGGTTCTACACACATGAAACTCCTCAGCTGTCTGGTTAGGTCAGCTTGTGTGGGCCCCTTTGTAGCACCAGAGACACACCCTGTGACAGCGTGCAGGGTGAAAACATGGGAGCCTGAACTCTGATCACTCAGCTTTAATTAGTTCCCCTTGAGAAAGCTGATGGGGGTAATTAGTCAATCAGGCTAGGCAGCTGGATGGTCTGAGGAGCCAATTACCCCATCAGCACAAGGCTGATAAAAAGGTAGGATGGAGGTGCCATGGGGGAGAGAGGGAGGGACAGGTCTAGCTGAGCCTGGTCACACAGAGGTGCAGAATAGGGAGACCTGTGTTCCCCTTAGGCCCTGTGAGAGAGCCAAATGCTAGGTTAACATCATAGATAAACTGTTGCATGGGGATTGTTGTGGAAATGATGTAGGGAACTCAAAATAAAAGGACCTGTGAAGGTGCCAGCATGGGAGTCTGTGCAGTTTCTGCACGGAGAAGGCAGGAGGGGAGCCATGCCCTATGATAGGGCCATAAATGGATCCAAAAATCAGGCCCAAAGTCTTTATAGAATGCAATTAACTAGATGGTTATACAAGACAAGTTTAAAGAACATCTTGAATTTTCCTCTGTTGACACAGCATTAGATGTAACCAGCAGATGGTGCTGCTGCATATGTCTCAAGAATTTTTCAGAAATAACAAAGGAAAATGGAAAAGAAAATAATAAGGTACAAACAGAGAATATAAATTCTGCCAAGAACAAAACATGCAATCCCCAGAAATTTCCATTCCTGACTGAAAACTTTGTAGCTTTTTATTTTATTTCAATGTCCTGCTGTTGTCCTCTCTTTTTGTATTCATTTGTCCAGGAATGGAATTAACCAGGGTGAATGCAGGCCATTAGCATTTATTTATCGTGACTGACTTGTTTACTGGGTTTTAACTTCTTTTCATGGCCGAGACTAATGTGTTTTCCATTCACAGTTGGTGTGAAGAAAGCATCAGGGAGCTCTGAAGCTAATGAACACAAACACTGTCACTTGGTCATCAGCTGCCAAGGACCTAGTAATTACAGATATTCCACAGCAGTCACTAGTTTGGAAATGTTCATTCATTTATTATACGGTTTCTCTCATTAAATTGCATTTTGCCAACCATTTTGCCTAAGGTATCTGGTATTTTCAGTATTAATCAGCCATTTACAACAGGCTATAGGAGCTAGAAGAGACTAAAATGAATCACCCATTCTTACCAAAATTATAGATAATTAACCAATGAGAGATTCATGTCTGCAGGGGTGTGCAGCACGAATACATCCAAAAGCTAATGTTCTCCAGAAACTGTCACCACTCTAATGAAATAATTGTTACTACTGGGATTAGCTTTTCTTAAGGTATTTTTTATGATGATCAATGTTTGAGATCTCACCTTGGGAGGTTGTGAGGAGCAGGGATTGAGGATTGAATGGGTTTATATCAGTCAGGCCTCCCTGACAAGTGAGTGTTCTACTGGGAGGGGTTTTGGGGGGGGTGTAGATGGACATGTGGCTACCACCTAGTTCACTCTGTCAGGTGGGATCTGTGTGGTGGTGAAAGGATGGTTGGGGGATGTGTAATTTAACTAGCCTTTTTAGGATGGAACAGTTCCATAGGATGTGGAGGAGTTATGACTTTTGTAGGAAAGCTTGGAGGCTGGAGCTGGGGAATTGGACGGTGTGTCTCTGGCATCATTTGCAATCTATTTGGAAGTCCCTATTCAGGCAGCCAGTTGCTGCGGCTGCATTCTCTCAATGGCCACTTTTGGATGTCTGCCATGAATTGAGGACTTGGCAATCCTGGACAGGGATAGGATGTTAAGGTTTTGTCTCCTCAATCTCTATCATGATAGGCATGGAAGTAGGCAAACAGGGAGTAAGAAGTGGGCATATTATATTATTTATTATCAGTCTCACTGGCCATGTCTGAAGTCCTATTTTGGGAGTATGGGATGTTGGTGGATTGTGACTGTGATCTTTAACTCAAGCAAGCAAGGGTTGTGGTGTCTTGACTATGCTGACACTACATTTCTAAGTATGCAGACTTTCATAGTCTCTTCTGTTTCTAGTCTTCTGTCTTTGCAGACTTTTTGCCAGAAGCTGGGATAGATGGACCTTTGGTCGGACCCAGTATGGCCGTTCGTATGTTCTCTTCTAAATCTTAAGCTGCATGGGACTGATGACGTATCTAGTATTTAATGGATGATGGCTGAGTCTCAGCTCAGTCAAGAATGAGATGATGTTTGTAGGATGAGAGAAACACCTGGAGGAAATGGTGGAAATCGTGTCAGCATCTCTAATGAATCATGTCAGCATCACCCCATTTTCCCCAAAGCTTCACAGTCTGGGGATCCTTGGCTGGAGTTGGATTCCTGGGCAGCAGCAGTTAAGAGCTATCATCTGCATTCGATAAGAAAGCTCCTTCCTTTCCATCTGGATGCAGATGTGCCATAGTTATGCACATCGTTGTCACTTTGGGTAGGTCTACACTGCAGCTGGGAGCGTGCTGAAGCTAGCACACTAAAAATAGCAATGTGAATGT